CTCGTGGCTCACAACATGGTCACCTCTCCTCAACAACCAAACTACAACTCATCTCTTCCGGTGAGCTTGTGATATGTTTACATTTCTGCAGGAGCGCCCATTGGGCAGAACTTCAAAACTTCCAGGGGTTTCCACCCCTTGGGGTCTACCACTTAATTTAGCCTCTGGGGAAAACAAAGTCCAAACCACTACACCACGGCACCAGAAATTAGTCATTCTTCCCTTTTTAGGTCTGTTTGGTTTTTTTATCCCACAGCACAGAGTGAGATATTAAATGGAAATCTGTAACCTTTTAGAATCAGGAGAAGAAAAAATATATGATTTTGAAACAAGCTCATGGTTTTGGTCCTAAAAGTCTTTGCATTGCTACACGAGACCAATATACAAAAGACTGATTCAAGTTTGCTCTGAACAACTTCAGCTGTTATTATTGATAGGAAACATTTAGATGCTGTTCCAGCAATCTTTTTGTCCACATTCTTTCCTCAAGCTTTAAATCACATTCACTAAAACCGCTGACTCAAATCTGCAAAACGTTGTTTTCCTGACAAAATCTTTCCAATGTTGCCTCCAATCAAAGGTGCAAGAGCATGCATACCCTTCAAAGAGACTAACAGGTAACTAAAGAAGCAAGTTAGAGCTGGTAGAAAACTATGCAAAAATATTCCGATTTTAAGTAAACATAAATCATATCACAGCCAACAAGCAGCCTGCTAAAACTACTGATGATAATAAATTCAGAACCTAGTAGAGATGCTGGCTGTCACAGTAGCTTGTATGTTTTTTTAACTGGCAGAGAATGCCTCCTGGACATAGGCCCAGTTTGTAAAGCATATTTTGGTCATCTTAAAATTAGATTACAGTCACCTCTATGAATTGAAACCAAATTTGTAAAGAGGCCCTACATCACTGTGACCACAGGTAATAACTTACACTGCAGGTATTAACTTACATTTGAAGTAGTATAATAAACAAAACAACCCCAGCCTTTCAGCAGTACATTGGCTGTTAAGATTAAGGGATAGCCACATGATCACAAGCAGCTGCTACAGATTGGTTTAAGGAATTACCAACTGTAGGGATACAGGATCTACCTGTCAGCTTACTGCAACTGCATGACAAGACCACTTTATTGCTTATTGCTCCCTATGAACTTAAGTTTTATTTTGTAATGGAACAGACACGCATGTGTAGCTGAGAGGTGGCACATATGCCTTGATTTGCATCATTTTGATCCTAAGATCCTAAGTATTCCTGCTGAACATAGGAAGAAAGTTCTGGGAAATTCTGAACTTCATAATCTCTATCAGTCTTATAAAAGCTGCTTTTAAGTTTGGAACTTGAAAAAAAAAAGAACATAAAGAGTTGTTTAATCACTTTCAGAGCACACTACAGTTACATTTTGCCTCAACTATGTCTGTCCCTTTAAGTCTTTCAACTGATGTTTTTAAGCTTGCTGCTCACAAGACTTGTTTGTATTTCAGCTATTCAGAAGATCTCACTTACCTTGAAGAGTGTGGCTTTTTCAGGGATTATTCCTTTAATTTTCACCTGAGGTTCCAGAGGAAGTGGAATAAGTTCCATATCTGCTAAATTCATCTTTTCATTATCAGCTAACAATGCCTGAAGCCTCTCATTCTAAAAGAATGAAAAATTGTTTAAGAAAAAAACCTACAAAACATAAAACACATACTAGGTATGTAAAAGAAAGGATGCATTATTAACAAATATTCAATTTATTCAATTCTTTATATGTCCAAAGAATCAAGCTTTCGCTCATAAGATCCAGGGAAAGAAAAATTCTCTATTTGTAGTAATCTGAATAAGAAAGGAGATATTCTATCTAGTGTTTATATAGTCAAGCAATTTTATAAATTACAGATACAGCTGCTAACTAAATTTCACTATCTATCCCCGCATAATACATCACAATAACCTCTGCTACCTTCCCATGTCCCCCACAGCTTGTTCACTGTTGTATTATCAGCTATTAAATTATCCTCACATCCTTCTTCTGCCAAAATACCCAAGAGTGTTCTCAAGGGCCTCTTCTGTTCTTCATCTACAAACTTTTAGAACACTTTGGAACCTTGGCCCATTGAAACCTCTCCAAAGTTTGTTTACCATTAAGCAAAATTATTACAGGACAATGGACACCTGTTATAAATCTCAGTGCTAAGAATTTTTAATGGAAAGTTAACTTCTTATCGTCAGATTCAAGCCACAGGTAGGTTTTCCAAGCTTTCAGTTACCTTTTTCTTGCGGTTCCCACTTTCACGCTGCACTGCTTTCATTACATGAACCAGCCGGTCCACAAATGTCTGCTGGGCTGCCAACAGCGAGCGCATAACCCTGACAGACTTATCACCCTAAGAGAATGAGAAGAAACAGAATTAGTTCCTTGTTCTGTAATTATTTTATCTAGAAATTATTCCTTTGTTCTTAGACCTTTGCGCTTTTAAGAGCTAAGTGAATAACGATCAATTTCCTGTCAATTCAAAAGGTATTTTCTGTAAAACACAATCAGAATCACTGCAGGTGGCAATCAATTATCTGACCTAACGGTGCACTTCAATTTGCATACACAACTTCAGTGGTGAACAGTCATGCATGACAAACCTATTCACACAGCCAAAGTAAGATAGTAAGGATAAGCGTGGAATATTCTTATGAAGCGTAAGAGTCAGACTGAAGCAACGCCCCTAAAACTGGAAATAATATGAAGTATGAGATATATGAAAAACAGGACAGACTGCACATTTGCTATAAATTATAACTTCCAATTCACAGAAGGTTTTTCAGCTTTGTTTTAGCTATTCTTCCCCGCTGCTCCAGCACCCTCTGCTGCCTACACACAGAACAGCAAGCACTGTTGGTGAATTCAACAAATCGGTCACTCTATTTGTGTTTCAAGGACAAGTGCCTCCAATAAAGAAACCGTAAATAAACTAGCCTGATTACACAAGGCTTTTACAGGGTTTTAGACCCATAATAAGGCAGAGGATTTTAGAAACAGTATGTTACTACCAGGAACAAGCAACAAGAAAGAAGTGTTCTCAATATCTGTTCTTTTCCTTTTCAGTAGTTTCTTTGGTTTTGCTACAAATTCAAAATTCAAGCAAAAGCAAAAGCTTTTATAAAATTTCAATATATATGACACAAAAAAAAGTTTCATCCTCTTAGACACCTCTGCCTTTTTAAGGAAGGACTACCCGAAACCACCACATATTTCCTTACACAGAAGCATTACCTTCAGCAAAGCCTGACTGAATCTTCTCATCACATTTAAGTACATTTCGTGAGTCTTTGGGTCCCTCTGCTGAGTGTCTTGGTCTTCACACTCCACTATTACATACCTGCAGTGTAAAAACAACCCAAGTTATGCTGTACTCCTGTCCTACACAATTTGTGTGAAACACATTAGCTCTGTATTATAGACCTGGAACTAAAAATAAAGTTGATCTTGGAATGAGGTCTCTAGTTCAACTGACAGGTGAACCCTTCAAAATTGCACAGTCCCAAATTCCCACTTGGATCAGGAGAGCCGGTTAAAGTTGCTGAGATATTTCACTTACAGTAGAGTGTCATCACTCAAACAGGACACGTCTGAAATCCAAACAATATGAACACTCCAATCAAGCAGTACAACAAGAGGAGTAGGCTTTCCACTGTACTAACATCCTCTACATAATACAGCGGCTGCTAACTTCCTAGTCAAGGACACCTGCAAAACCAAGGAGAACCTCACAATACCTGCGCCCTGTTTTACCATTAGCAGTGGTGGAAGAGCCAGGTGTTGCCCCTAAAGCAGCTCCTGAAAAGTCTACATTCCAAAGTAAGTTTCCATTTATAAAATTACCAATCAGGTACAAGATTTAAACAGTACAATTTGGGACAGTTATACTGAATTTATGTTTTGACATTAAGAAGTCACTTGGTATGCTTTTGTGCTTACTTCTTTTTGCAGCACTGACAAGCAAAAAGTAGCTATGTATTGAAGGTCTTTCTGTTGGTCAATATATCTCCCAGTACTATCAATTAAAAACTTTTAATAAACATATAATAAAAGTAAAAACATATAATATAATAAACATTAGTGAAAAAAAAAGAAGAAATTAGCAAGTCAGTTGATTTGCAAACACTGTATTTGGATTTAAAAGTGCCTCCCTTATTCAAGAAAGTGACACATTCAAAAACTGGACTCGGACTTTGCACTGGCAGCTGGAATTACCCTTTCCTTATATAATTGTGCAGAATCTCTTTGCCACTGAATGACTGTGGGAGAAGATTAGAAGTCTGTCATTTGCAGATGGTCAGATATGACTAGTCTTATTTATAAATACTCAATATATTATATACATTAAGGTCTATGTAATTTATTCCATGTGTATTATCTCATGGAATCTATAACCAAAGATTCCCTCTAGGACTTGGCTAATATATTATTCCCGCATGAATACATGTGTGAAAACAAGTCCATATTTATAAAATCTGAACACCTAAACATCATGGAAAACTGGAAATAATGAATTGAAACATGTCATCTTTATCTTCATTTGTTAAAAGGCCCTAGACAGTCTTTCCAAGCTATCTTGAAATAAGGACTAAGAGTAATGCCTCATACTTGGATAGGTGTCTCATACGTCCACAGAGGAGACAGAAAAAGCAGTAGCACTGACTTCTGAGGCTGCTGTTAAAGCGTAGGATAGCTCTACAATGACAAGTGACTGAGTAGAAGGTTTGATTTTCAAGGGTTATTGTACTTTTTCCACTGATTATTTTAGGTGCATGCTGTGTCTGGATAGTTGAAACATACAACTGATCAAGAACCATGAGGATTTATGGCTACGTCAGCTCAAACAGTGGCTGCAACATTTGTATTTTGTCACTGAGAAATTGAGATGTCTGGAAAGAAAACTAAGAATAAATTGACTGGGGTTCTTGGTTTGGTAGGTTTTTTTTGTTTGTGTTGTTGAAATTTTTCTAAGTCATAAGTCAAAAACTTCAGAGTTATGGATGTTTGAACTTTCTGTAGCCTGAATATCTGAGATGTTGTGGAAATGTAAGTGTACAGTTTCAATCAACATGATAGAAATATGGTAACATACCGATTACCAACACGTATCTTAATGAAGAATAGTTGATTTGGTCAAGCACTTGGTTTCTACTCACATCGATTCATCCTGAAATTATTTTAGTTATTTGAATTTAACAGTATTTTTTTTTACTCAAGCCAAACACTATCTTTGTAAGAATTTTGTAAGAACAGTCTGCTATGTTTATGTTGCATTCCTAATTCACAACTTCTCTGTGGTTAACACTCTTAATACATTAACATAGGATCATGTATATTAGTATTTTTAATTACTAGGTGCAGCTACAGAGGATACAAATGAGAATCATGTGACTCGGGTTTAGCCACGTAAAAGGCACATAAGCTCTCACTTTTAAAATGCATGTGCATATAAAAGTAAATAGCCTTGTGTGCTGTGCATATGTACTTCGATATACACATACACACACACACAGAGCACAGCTCTACTCATCTCAGCTTCCTTCAAATGAGGTAACTCCTATCTCCAAATTACTCAGAAGGCTTTCAGAAGACTAGTTTAGGCATCTAATTTAATTCTTAAACCAGTGAGGTGACACGAGATCCTTAGATAAGTAATCCTAGGTCTCCACTGTCTAAATGAACTATTCACAGCTACAATTCCCCCTTAAGAAAGCACACATCTGCAATGACATTTTGTTTGTGCTCATGGCATAACCACGAATGGAATCAAAAAACCCCAGCAACTTAGAACAAAAAAATTAGTGCTTTATGAATCTTCATAAAATACACTCTTGATCAATACCAAAGTGCATAACTTCAGTGTTCTAGCCAACACTGTCAAAACCATAAACACAAACCAAACAGAGAAGCAGAGCAGAAGATGAACTTTATCTCCTACCCAGCACCATAAACAATTTGAATGACAACTTACAGCCTGTAATTGGGCTGTTTCTTGTAATGCTGTACTTAATTCCCAAGACATTACCTTTCTTTGCCTAACAGTAAAGGATATTTTTGCATTTAAAAAACCTCCTTTTAATAATTATAATGTCCAAATGCATATTATTATATGCATATTATTATATTAAGAGAAACTGATATTCTCTAGTTCTCTAGACAGGTCATCTTTTGCTGAGCATCCTTCTGGGCATTATACTTTGATTTCAATTACATATTGATACAGTATGAATAAATAACCATTTCTAACAACAATAAACCATTTCTAACATACCAGTACAAGTAGTTTGCCAACGTGGAATTTTTGCATGCTCGTGATATCAAGAAAGTGCAAAGGTCTTGCTGGAAGAGATTTAAGAAGAGCAAAATTAAGTTATAAAGAAGACCCAAGCACTTGAGAGACAAACTTTAGAAAAAATCCCAAATAAATATAAGGGAGTTTTGAGAGATATATTCCCTTAAAAAAATCAGAATACAACCCAAATATCCAAATCAAATTAGTTTTAATATTACTTCAAACCATCAACACCATTAGAAGGAAAAAATGGTCTGCTACTCCAGTAATATATTTACCAACATTTCAAAAGTACATGGTGTTCTCCAAAAATAAACCTTTAATGTAAAGTTTCCATTTATGTTACTTTTCTCCTATGCAATTATCCCTTGCTGTAAAATTCAATGCCAAAAGAAATTTCCTACTCTGTTTTGTATCCAGAGAATCTAAAAATCTTGAAGATGTTCTACATTTTAAGAAAAAAAATGTAGAGGATACATAGCATTTAGTTGCTTTTTTAAGGTTTAATATTTCAACTAACAAGAAATCTGTGTATCTTTACCAATATGCTCAGTTTGAGGCTTATTTTCTGTGTAGTACTGAGACTCAAATAGGACGACTTGCAACAGGGAATAGGTCTTTAGTTCAAAAGCCAATTAATCTCCATATCATATTAAACCCAGATTCCCTCAAACTTTTTATACCTTCTATCTTTCCCTCCGTCCAGTCCCATTTCTATTACTATTCTCATTTTGTGGTTTAAACTGGGAATAATCCTTTGCAGAAATAAATCAACATAGTTTCTCAGGTTCAAAAAAGATGACGTGCCAAAGAATATGGCTACAGGAAGAACAGACTGCAGAGACTAAAACATTTGGATAACCATTTTCCATTAAAAAAACTGCTTTACAACACCTTGAACACATTGTCAATTTTGGATAAGTATGTGGTAGCCTTTGCAGTAATTTTCTCCTTCAAAGAAGAGGACTTTCATTTTATGAAAAATTCAATGCCCAGTTCCCCAATTTCAGATACTGTGACCATGCACAGAAACAGATGGCCTTTATTGCTATTTTCTTAGCATCTAGTTTACATTTATATTCTTTGGGCACTTTAAATATTCAGCAAGATACTGGAGAAAGATCAATAACTATGAAAGTTAGAAACAGTACCAGGTCAACAAAAAGTATCAAAAATACAAGGTAAATCTGACTTACATCAAGGTTTTCATTTTCTGCAAGCTCTTTTGTCTTAGAAGTAAGAGGTGGAGAGGAGACAGGTGGAATAGGACTCATAATCTGGGAACTACACAAAGGAAAGCATGTAATTGGCATGATTCAAAGTTCTTGCTTGGGGACCAGGGAGCATGCCTGGAAACAACAACGAATTTCACTTCCACAGCATATAAATTCAGAAAACTGAAAGAGAAGTATCTTTGAAGGTAGCATTCCAACCCTGTTTCAGAACAAACTGCTAAACAGCAACTTTGACAGCTGCAGTTCCTGAAAACAGTAAAAATCTGTGTCTGTGTCTGTATACAGTTTACGGCTGTGAAGGATATTCACTTACATCAAACTTTGCATTTTGTTTCATCTTCCATACAAAATAAGCAGATATAGATAAGAATTTAACAGATCTGCATTTTCAGGAGAAGCTGTTGTCAAAAGTGCTTAAGATGAAGCTGCTAATACACAACACCTGCAAGCACTTGTCTCTGCAATGCAGAGCACATAACAGAGCAGACAAATGAAATATTTGCAAGGCAAAATTTTCAGAGAGTAAATTTACCTGAAAGGAAGTAAGCAAATAGCTCTACTTATGTCTAAGTATCATGGCAGCGTCAAAACACCCCATATATTTCAAGACACTCACTCTAGAGCTTTGCAGCAAGATCAATGAAAAGTTGTAGAATTGTAACATCAAAAAATATACCCATTAATGATACAAATGATGAGAAGCTTAAGACTAAAAATTCTGGCAATTTGTAACAGATATTCACAGGAGACTACAGTTAACTAGGTTGGTTTACACTTTGCTTAATACTTTATTAATTAGATATCTCAGTCTTTCTTTTGCATTCCTGCAAGAATAAGAAGCACGATTCCCCAGGTCTCTCCCTACACCACCTTTTGCAGGAGTAGGAGGAAATTTCTTTCCATTTCAGACTGACTGAAATTTCGATACACATTCTGTGAATGAAAGTAGAACTTCACTGAAGACATCTTAACTTTTGCAGAAGGAAGTAACAACGTTTTTCCTGCTCTCCAGAAGTTGTCTTCCCTTTCTGCAGTAAAGGCCACAACTTCAAGATTAAGAATGTTTGCTCTGTAAACTATCTGCAATCAGGAAACAGATTAATTTTCCTTTTCTGTCACTGTTTCAGATTATAAAATATTGGGTTGAATATGCAAAGGTCTCAAAAAAAGAAGAAATAATTTCATTGCTTAGAATGTTACATGTTTCTGACTTTCTCCGGAAGTCTACGCTTCTTACCTGTCTATTTCTGCACTAGTTCCAGACGTTGACATAGTTTCTGACATGGAACCTTGACTGTCCCTTTTGCTAGGCTCTAGTCCATTCTTTATGTCATCAAAATTTTCATATTTCAATGCCTGGACTAACTGTAGCAGGTACATCAGCAAATCCTTATGGAGGAAAGAAAAAAAAAAAAAACAAACACAAAAGGAAGTAAATTAGAGGCGTCAGTTAAAGCAAACTAGAACTCCATTACGTTTTCAAAATTCTAATTTATAGAAAAACATGGTCAGGATTTAGTGGCTTGTAAACACGGAAACTGAGGTCTCCCTAACAAGTAATATAGAACAGAAAAATTGGTGTTGGATGTAGTTTGACTCCCAAAAGATACTGAATTACCATACTATTTTTAGTTACTCAAAGACAGTAAATGCTAATTTAGTGAATATTTAAGTGCAATTAGTACTTTAAAATTCTCTTTAGCTAAGTTGCCCTACTTGTTGTCAGCATCCACAAAAAAAATCCTTTCAGTGTGTGTCTCCCAAGAAGAAAATTCAAACACTCTGGGCCATGGTATCCAGAACGGAGATTATCTCCGCTCTTATGGACTTTCATTTTAATCCTTTGTGTAGTTGGGGATTCAAAGAGAAAAAAACCACATATCTGATTTATTTTAAACTGAAGAACAGAATTTTAATCACATGCTGCTTAAAATGAATTTGCTGCCTCTACTATTCAACTTGTTTCATTTACCTACCTTCAAATACCTTGTAAAAGGTACATTTTTAAAGTCAAAGAAGTATGACCTTGGCTATTGAAGCAGGCTTGAGAAAATATATTTATGCTCCCTACTTTAAACTCTATTGATTGCCAAGGATTCAAGAGTTATTGTAATACATTCAAACCTGGTATTTTTTTTTAATGTCCGTAGAAAATAAAATATATAAATCATTGAAAATTAACAGATTCTATTATGTGGGCTCTACTCACAGATCAGAGCTTATCATATGCTAATCAGTATACAACTAGAAACACCCTATTTCCACGGATGCTCTTCTGCTCATTTTCTTTAGCAAAAGAGTATGACAATATACTGCTTCATTTTACCAGATGGATTTGCTGAAAATCCTTTAGTCGACTATTTAAGTTCAGAGCACTTCTATGCAGGTTAACAAGCAAAATTTATCACTGGTTTCTGGGGAGAACAACGGTTGTTTTATCTTGTTTGACTAAACCAGCTATTACTGGCTCTTCATGCTAAGACAATTATCAGTGAGTGACATTTAATAATGTGAAGACTTTGCTCCTCAGAGAACTTACAGTAAATAGCAACAGAGTGAATTATTTTGTGTTTTCCTTCACTATTACTCCCTTGAATGCCTTGAGAAGTAGCAAACATTTCAAGTACTCAATGACACTAAAACTCCTGAGACCAGCTGACTTTTCCCTGCACCCACAGACCAATGAATACCTCATCATCAGCCTGCTGAAGCCTGGCAACAGCATAGCGCCGAACTGTTGGGTTGGTGAAGTGGGATGACAGAAGCTCTAGAGAGTCTTCCACATCCATGGGCTTCCACTTGCCCAGCAGCTCCAGGGCTTGCTTTGCCTCTTGTGGTAGATCCCAGTTGACACATTTTAAGAATTTTGTCAGGGCCTAAACAGAAAGAGATGGGACAATTCATCAGTAAAACAGCAGACTAAACAAATTATTTCAAAAATTAACGTTTTTCATTAAGGTAGAACTAGATTCAGATTATATTTAGAAAAGCACAGACCTTGTTGATATAAGTGACAATACAATATTGAGCTGTTTTAATATGTCCCAAAAAACAGCAGTTGAGTTATCCAAAGAAAATGTAAAGATAATTGTTACTGCTCTATCACAACTACCACTACATAAAAAAGTCCACTGATGAGGGATTATTTTGTTATTCAATTTACTCTAGGTTTTCGGTGTGCTGCTCCTTACTCTGGTAATGCTAACCCTTGTCTAAAAAGGATGAAGAAGCTCCTCCTCAATAATTTTTTCTGCTGAAGACAAAACTGGTGAAACTGGCATTTTAAGCTGACAGACAGTGTTTGTAGAAAGACTACTGCAGTAATAGCCAGTCCACATGATTTAATGGGAAAATTTTCAGTCACTAACTTTTAAAACAGTAACATTACAGAAAAAATAGAATAATCTTGACTCGCTTCTATGACATTGAAGCTCTGTATGTCTGCAAGGACAGGATGTTGTAGAAAGACTGCCAAGATGATGCTCTTCTTGCACTAGTTTTATCAAACAATTCCAGATCATTACTAGATGATCTTTAAGGTCTCTCCCAACACAAAACATTCTGTGATTCAACTTACCTTCTCCTGATGAGTTAGGTAATATCTGAATTTCCAAACCAAATCCTGTTCCTCGTACGTTAGCTGCTTTGTCGGTGGATAACTCACTATGATCTATTAGATACATGGTCAGAAAGTGAGTTTAAAAACATCAACAGGCAAATGAGCAGCAAGTTAACGCAGTACACAGTGACAAAACCCAACACTGACAACACATAAAAATAGCTAGGGGTAAAAAAAGAGCTTTCCAACAACACAAAGTTCTCATGCTATCCCGGTGATGCTCCTCAGCTATGTTTGATTGAACTAGCAGTGAAGACAAACATACAGAGTTACTTTAGGACTACCATTCACACCTACATGGTACGTACAAAAGACACATTCTCACCCACCCAAAACTGTTGTACAAAAAGATTAGCAAGTACCTTCTGTTCCTTTCTGAGCTGGACCCTTCTAACTAAGCCTTTGTAACAAATGCTTAACAGCATTTCATCATTAATGGTTTTCTATAAACTGAAATTAACTTGTCACCAATTAAATATATTATGACTAACAATATATTATCAAATATATTATCACTAACCTACCTAATAAAACTGAATTTAGCCATCATATGAGTGACTTACATTAAGCTGATCTCGTGTAGTTGCATTAGGCTTCAGGTCATGATCAGAAGGTCCACTTCTTAAACTTCGAGCAAGCTTGTGATGTTTGCTTTCTACTAAGTTCTCCTAAACGCAGAGGGTAAGTCAGTATTTATAAATACTCAGTCAAAGAAAATTACTACTGAAATGAAACCACCTAGCGAAGATCACCAGCCTCTTGGAAAACGCATGGCAGTTAAAATTCACATCTAAAACTACAGTGCCTTCTGGCCTTTTGTTTGTTTGTTTTACAAAAAACTGCTTTAATACTAGGTGAAGGGTTGTCGGGATTTTTGAGGGTTTGTTTTGGTTTATGACTTCACACAGTTAACAAACTCTACCTTGCCTTCTGGTGAATTGCTGCAAAATGTAAGCATTTCAGTCAACACATACGTGATTGACAGCACTCAAACGTGCTAGACACTTCAAAAACATCTTTTCAGGATGATGTTTGCAGCATAAAGCTTTGTATGCAAGAAAAACATCTCAAAAACTTGTCCCACTGTTAATACCATGTTAGAAACAGTAGGAGACACAAAAGGAGCCACAGTGCCAACGAGATTTCAGCAGCCAAGGCAGTTTCCAGCATTGTCAGACTTGCTCTTGCAGTGTTAGATTACAAGGTGCTCAAACAGTGTTGCCAGTACAAGCCCACTTACATTAAGGTTCCCAAAGCTGCCAATACCTGTCCCACTGAATTGGCATCCACAATAATGGAAATCTTTTCTAGAACTGTATTTAGGCACTGTCTACATGAAAGACAACATACAAGAAAGTGTAGGGAGAAAATATTTTAACAGATGAATTGACCAAGAGTTACTGCACCAGCCTCTAAATTCTACTTTTCTCTTCTTCAGCTCCCTCTTACCTTACATTCCCACCCTCTGACCTCTTTTGCCAACAGTCCCCCTTCTCTGCTTTCCTACATACACGTCAGAAGCAAGCACATTAAGTAAGGAAAGGAGCAGATGAACATAAGCATTAAATCAATTATTTATTTTAAACTAGCAGCAGCAGAAAAAGAAATTATAAAATTCAAAACCACTGATATTTCTCAACTGGTCAAATACATCTTTCCACTGGAATTTTAAAGTATTCAAGACAGCAAGCTTTCATCTCTATAAAAAGTTCAACAAAAATACAGATGGTATTACATGGAGCATGCTTACCATAGACATCTGGGGATCTGGAATCTTAACAATTTCAGGACTTGTTAGAATTGGAGATGACTCATCACCATCCTGAATGACAAAAAGTTAAAGACATATTAACCACATTAACCAATTTATCTTATTATTGCACAGTGAATTGTACTACAGTGAAAGAATGATGCAACTGCACCTTATTTGACAGTTATAAAGGGAAAAAAGAAAATAAAAGATGGAATGTTTTTCTTTTTATTTTTCCCAGATGCTACACATTGTGGCAAGAGAGATGGGAAGTTCACCCGAGGAGATACAGCTTGGCAACTCACTACTCTGCTGGCATCACAGGTGAGTGGAAAAATTTGCCATTATCATTACACATGTCCTGTGGAAGCACAAATAGAAACTAAACCAGGTTCTGTATTTCCACCAAAACAAAATAATATCCTAGAAATAACTGCCATGTTGAAGAAAAAAACTTCCTAAAAGTTCAACACAGACAAATTTAGGAAGATATATAAGTACCTATGTAGAGGGGTTCCAGAGGCCTTCCTTAGATGGGTCTAACCTATGCTTCATAAATAAAGGAAGGAGAAGGTAAAAGATTCCTGCTTGAATCAGGGAGAAGAAAAAGAAATTAAGAGCTTGCCACCACATAACAAAGCCAGCAACTCTGTTGTTCTTCCTCAGTTTATCACAGCAGTGTGGTTTCAGGCTTTTTAAACTTAGAAGTGTAAAGAAGCATTAATTGCCATGAGTTACAAAAGAACATTTAATTTAAAAGACAGTATAAAATAGTAAAACACAAAATAAGACAACATCAGCATAATGCGTGCTATGATCTATTTATACTTAGTTTGTCCTCATTTTCTTTGCTGCAAATTTCAGCCCAAAATAAGGTTCTTTCGACATACTAACGTTTCCCTCAGTAATGTAACTTTGAGGTAACTTTGCGGTAATTTCTGCCCCCACACTCCTTTTTCTTTTCTTTTTCCAATCACATATGCCTCTTGGGATAGCTTTGCTTCTATAATTTTCAGAGGT